ATAAGCATGGTGCCAACGCCACAACGATAATAATAATAACAGGGGCAGATGGATCGGAATACAGAACAAAGTGGAAAGAGCTGTTCCCATAGCTAAATCTTTAACAACGGGCATCGTGGTATTATAGTAGAGTACCTGCAGGATTCAGAAAAGCATCCAAATAACGAAAATTGCCTGTTTTATGCGCCAACCACAGATTTTCCCTGTCAAGCATCAGCTTTTCCCACAACACCTGTCAGCGTCTTAACTCTGTGTAGCGATAGACTCAAATGGATCATATTACTGCCAGTTATCGCGGGTGAGGATCCGTTCAAGACTGCTGCTGTCATTTGTCCGTACCCTTCGATGAGGACCGTGATTTGTGACGAGCCGGATTCTGTTTGTATCTGATAACTATTCGCAACTAGGCTGCCGCATCAACATGTAAGCGGCAACTATGAACAGCTTCAAAGCGATGCCCCCCCCCTCTCCTCTCTACCATCCATCGAACGACTCAGTCAACAATGGAAGCTCTTCAAATATCGATCAAAGCAACCATTGATTCTGCAATACGACAGCAGCATAAACGATGTACTCTATCAATTTCTACTGCCTCACTGGACGCTCGCAAAACGATTCCTCCGAATACATTAGACACTAGGAGCTTCAGGAATGACCGCGAGGATTGGCTGGTAGCAAAATTTAGAGGGGGAGAAGGCTGTGGCTGATGGTAGCAACCGACGTTTTTCTGTCTGAATTGGAATACGGTCCATGGGGAAAGGGTCTAAGTGGGATGCTTAAGGGTACAGATGACCCACTGATTCACTAATTCAGCAACGTTGTCTTCAGCCATAGATAAAAATTTGCAGTCTTCATCGATTTAAGGTTTGCCAAACCCAGATTCAACAGGGCAACTACTACCAATTGTGACCGGTACTCCCGGAAAGGAGGCTACTCAGGACGTAATACATCGCAAATCACCTAAGACCTCTGACCCGGACGGGTGGTCTTCATCCGCTTTTAGAGATGAGTCATCAATCTTCGCCATTAAGCGCACAAAACTCGTCGGTTGAATTCGGAAAAATGAACTGGTTTCAGTCCATTGATGTGAATCGGTCACCATACCGATTTACAAGGAAGGCCATTGGTTGATCCTCTTGTGAAAATTATTTTGATCAATATCGTCCATAAACTTCTCGCATGCTTTATACTTCGGTGATTGTGTGTCGCCTGGAAAGATGCACGTTCCAGAAACAGGTTAGTTTTATATTTGTTCAAGGTTGTACCGACAAATAATGGAACACAGGTATTCCTTATACAGATCTTTTGCTTGGTATGAAAACAGCCTTCGACTCAGACGAGTTCACCACGGCAGGCGGTGTTCGTCATTGTTGTCCGCTGCTTCTCCTTTTTAGTAGACATGGTTCTCAGAGATTCGTATTCATGCCAATACATCACAATATATATCACTATTTGGGAACAAAATTGTCATGGGAAAATAAAATAAAATAAAAACATAGATTACTAAAACCGATTTCATCGTGAGACCGGAAATCGGGTTCACTACGACCACATGTTTGTTTGTCCACTCATCCGACCATCGAAATTACTCACGATGCGGTTTGTATGGAGGGGTGGGTTGAGATGCATCGGCATGAAAACGAGCTTGTTCGCCACTCTGTTGCTTTGTTTGAAATGTGCTCTCTTGGATTATTTCAACAATTGAAGTAGACATGGTTCTGCTAATAGCTCTGTCCTCAGGTGAATATGCTGGCGTAGATTCACTCCCATGTAGCAGCTTATCTGATCTAGAGTTTGAAAAAAAATGTTCTACCGCCAATCAAGTTACTAGCTCTTCCGTATATTTTAAGTGTCAGTGTAATTGTGTTTCCTGTAATGATTTGCACCTTCAAAGTGCCAAATGCTGCGACAGGACTGGATTGTTCCGCCTCCCAACGTAGTTCTAGCAGTGGAAGCAGAAATGGTTACTCAGACAGCTGCAGCCCTTCTGTTAGACAGCTTCCGAATGACGGGTCTGTACGTATACACAAGGCTCGATTGGTGTTTGCCCACTCGAGATTTCTCCGGCTCCGTCGCGATATTCGTTTTTTTGTGAAGTCGATTGTGTGCCACAGTATTTCGCCCGGTGCTGCTGTATGGTGCAGGGGCTTGTTTGTGAAGTCGGTTTTCGAACACCGACGTCTCTGCTGCGTAGCGTGAGGCTAGTGGTGCAACCGGAGAAGCCTTGTTGTGGTTAAACGCAGTGAACCCATTAGAGATTTATGGCCAGCTGAATCGAAGGCTCTTTTTAGGTCAAGGAACACTGAGATCGTTGATCAATGACGTGTGTGGTGCGATTCGAGGACTTGACGCAGAGTGAAGATTTGCTTAACTCAACCGATACCTGGTTGAAGTCGTGCCTGGTGTTGGCGGAAATTCCCTTACGGGTGTCAGGTGGCAAAGTATTACAGAAACCAAGACTTTTGTGATTATCGGAACTAAACTTATCCCAAGGTGGATTGCGCAGTTGTTGCATGATCTTGAAGATCGGAACGATCAACGATTCATCCCAAGATGGGAGGATACGCTTTTCGAGCCAAATGCTGTGAACTAAACTGTTAGTCGAGTTGACTAAAGAGTGAACCCCTGCGTATAATGAATGGTGCAAAGCCGGCTGTCCATTAATTTCTTAGACATTGAATGCAGTCCCATACTTCTAGTTCTGCTGGGGCTCCGCTGCAATCGTCGAAATAACTGTACTAACCATACCATTTGAACTGTACACTAAAATACTCTGCCCAGTGATAAAGTCTTCGTTGTTTATCGGTGATACTCTACCCACTTATATGGCAAAGGCTTTCAGGGGTCTCTTTGTCACAACCTCCCGTACTTTGTATCAAGTGAAATAGTCTTTTTTGATGAAGT